AGGGAGGAGGAGGAGAAGGAATGATGGAGGGGTGAGGGCGCCGCTCCGCTGCGGTGGTTTTCCTGCGGCCCTGGCGCCAGCTCGCGCGCCGCCTCCTCCTGTGCGGCCCTGGCGCCGGCGGCCTGCTGGCGCGCCTGGCAGCAAGCGGGCGAGGAGTGCCAGCAAGGCGCTCGGGTGGCTGCCGCCAGGAACGCCCAAACGGCCGAACGACGGAACGGTCGAACCACCGAGCGAATCTGACGACGACGACGACGACGACGACGACGACGACGACGACGACGACGACGACGACGACGACGACGACGGCGCCGAGAGCATTGGCGCGCGCCTCTCGCCCGCGCTCGCGCTCGTGAGGGATGGGAGGGAGGGGTAGGACGTGAGATATGACGCGAGCTCACCCAGCTTGTCTCATCCCCCATCCCCTCTACCTCCTTCCCACCCCCCAGAGGACGGGGCCGGCGCCCCGCTGCCGCAACTCTCGCCCGCCGCCCGCCCCCCCCCCTCGCCCGCCCAGCACCTGGGTGGGGTCGTCGTCGTCGCCGTCGTCATCGTCGTCGTCGTCGTCGGCGGCGGCGGCGGCGGCGGCGGCCGCGCGCCTCCCGCCCGCGCTCGGCCTCGCTCTGCAGCGCCTCCACCCGCGCCCGCAGCACGTCGCCCTCGCGACGCAGGCGCGCCTCGGCCTCCTGCGCCTGGCGCGCCGCCCGGCGCGCGTCCTGCGCCGGGGGGGGGGGGGCCGGGCGCCGCCTCGTCGCCGACCCCAGCGGCGAGGGAGGCGGAGGAGGAGGAGGCGGAGGAGGAGGAGGAGGCGGAGGAAGAGGAGGCGGAGGAGGAGGAGGAGGAGAAGGAGGAGGAGGAGGCGGAGGGCAGACAGGGGCAGACAGGGGCCGCGCCTCCGGAGAGAGAGAAGCCCGCCCCTCTCTCCCCCCCAAAAAACCTCCCCCCCCCCGCTGAGGGGCAACGACAAGGGGGGGGGGCTGGCACAGGGGGGGATGCATCGACCTGGAATCGGCGATTCATCGCCGAGAGGTCGGCGATGGGCCCCCGACCCGAGAAGGAGTCAGGACGTTCCTGGGCTGGTTGGGTCTGTCGGCCCCCTGTCGGTGATCCTTGGGCGATGGGGGGTCGATGTGCTCCCCCCCTCAGGCTTAGGTCGGGCGTGTCCCCATACAGGCGGCTCCTCGACGAAAAGAAAGAAATAGCCAAAGCATGCCCCAAACATGCTCCATGAAAAAGAAAATCAAGACAAATCGTCCCCAGACTATGTTTCGACTATCTTTGAAGATTCCCCCTGTAGAGGGACAGGCCCGACTCAACCTTAGGCCCGTCCCTCCCCCTCCCCCCAGGTCGTTGCCCCCGAGGGAGAGGGCAGCGCGCGGCTGTGGCCGGGCCCTCCGCAGGGGGAGGAAAGCGATGGCCTCTACAGCCGACCATGTGATCGAGAAAAAATCTCATCAGCGCACCGACCCTGCAGACGTGCTGCAGCGGATTTTTGGCGAGGATTTCTGTCAACGCAGAACCCCGAAATGACGAAATTCCACGTGGATGTGTTTAAAACTTTCATTCCTGGCCCCCAAAAAACCGCACGATATTTTCCGAACGCAATCTGATGTTGGCGCCATGAATTCTCATCAGGGAAGAAAACTGGGCCAGCTTCCTGGGAGGTTCTCACAACACGGCGCGAGGTTTTTCAATCTGTTCGGCCTCTGGGGGCCCTCACCGGGCCGCGGGACCGTCAAAAAACTATTCAGGATGAAAAACTGGTCCCGGGGAATGGGTCGAGACCCCTGGGGGTCGACGTCATGGAAAAATCATGACGTCGGGGGTCGATGACATGACAAATCGGGACGTCAACAACAAATCATGAGGAAGGCTCTTAAAACAAGCCTGGGCCAACTTCTGCTCGTAATCCTGAAGTCGCGACCGTGCTCAAGGAACCAGGCCAGCCTTCTGGCAAGTTGGCGAAGAAGTGCTGGCCCAACTTTCTGGGAGGAGGTTTCTTAAACAGATTCTCGGCTGTATTGTTTTGTATACCACACCCTCCCCACCCTGGTCAGATCCCACGGGGCAACGTTCAGTCTACAAAAACCGCGAGCTGGGGAGGGAATCCTGTATACCAGACCCACGACCAAAACCCTCGCCCACCCCCAAGGGCTGTTGGGCATAGTAAGCAAATTTTCGGGGCTGACGCAAACACAGAAACCTGGAGGTCCGCGCAGATTCCTCGGATCGGCGCTGGGGCCCCCTGGCGGCGCCTCTGGCGCCGCCCCTGGCGCGCTCCGCGATATTATGTTTGTGTCATGGTTTGCTCCCCGAGCCTCAGCGCGCGTCCATGCCCAGCGGCCGCCGCAGCTCCTGGTCCTTCAGCATCTTGCCCACCTTCTTCCAAGTGCCGATCCCGTTGCGCTTCTCGTACGCCTGTTGGGGGCCAAACAGAAATCTGCACGTGCATGGGCTTTCGGAGGCCCGCGCGGATTTCTCGGACCAGCGCTGGGACCTCCCTGGCGCGCCAGGGTCGACGCCGGAGGCGCCGCAAGGAGGGGTCCAGCGCCGATCCAAGAGATACGCGCGGACCTCCGAAAGTGTACGGTTGTGCCGATTGCTGTTCTCCGAATGCCTCCATCCATTTCCGGATCCTGTTGTCCGCAGTTGTGCTCTCAGCACTTTGTGCGTGTCGTGAAGCCCGTCGGCTGTCTGGTAAGGCGTCGGTAATTTCGGGGTCGGCCAAGAGGGGGGCGTCCAAGAGGGGGGGGCGCAAATCTTAGCCGGCGGCATGTGCGCGGCCCAGGGGGGGAGCCAGGGACGTAATGGAATAAGAAAAGAGGCCATGAAATCTGAAGAAATATCATGGCCCGCGCCATGATATCCCCCCCCTAGTCATCACCCCCCTCTTTGCCGCTCCCGATAACTATCAAGGGGCGGCCTCCAGCTGGGCCAGCCTGGGGCCTCAGAGTTCGCCCCTGCGAAAGCGAGCCAGAAGCGCCACACGGGAGCTCCAAGACGGCCTCCAGAGCTGGCCTCTCGGCTCCACTGCCAGCCAACAAAGCACCGATACCCGCAGAGGGTTCAAGACTTGTTCGAGAAGCCCCAAGAGGCATCCCAAGGTGGCCTCCAGCGCAGGCCTAAGAGGCCAGAAAACAATTGAAAACGATTGGGATCGGCATGTTGTTGCTTCGGAAGTTGTTCGGTTTACTGTTGTCTCGGAGGATTTCAGAAAGGCCCAATCAGCCTCCTATACAAGCCAAGATGGTCCCCAAAGGCCACTTAACGGCCCATGTAGCCTGAGACAGTCCGCCACAAGGAGGCCCTGAGACGGCACCAAGACCTGCCCAGAGGACCTCACAATGGTTCATCCGAATCTCTTCGGAGCGTTCGTTAGAAGCATCGCGCCTGAGACGGCCCCGAGGCCTCCAACTGGCTCCCAACAGGCCCCCAAGAGACCCCCAAGAGGCTCCCAGGATGCCCTCCAAGAAGCTTGCAAGAAGCCTGCAAAAACGGCGCGAGGCCGTGCGTTGTTATGGCTGCACCACGCTACACGATCGCAGAGCCGCTTCCTAAACGGCCTCGAGCTATTTCTACCGAGCCTGCTCCGGTGACCTCGGTACAACTGCCCTACATGCATCTCGACTCTGCGCTGGCACCCTGGCGAGGGGTGCCGCAGGCATCCGGATAGTCAGGCTTCGAAGGGGAGGTGCCAATCATGACCATATTGAAATTCAAATCCTCAATGAAGATCTGCCACGGGGCAGGGTACACGCGGAAGAATGTCAACTGCCAGTTATTGAGTGGCGTCTGGTGAAAGTAGAACGCCTGCATGTCAAATGTCTGGCAAACTTCGGTCCCCACATCATTTTTGGACGTGAGGTAAAAGTCCTGTCCTTTGTTCTCCACTTTCCACGGGTCGGGCGCCTGCTCGGAGTTGGCGAGGACTACTAGGCGATCCCCCATGTTCTCGAAGAACGTGCCAACCCTGGGTGATGTCACCAGCGCTCGGCCTGGGAGGTAGAAAACCGCAGCGTCCATGATAGCGTTCTCGGCCTCTCGGTACAGAAGGGTGCCAACCTCATCGTCGACCTGGGAGATCCTCACCTGTCTCAGGGACTCACCGCCCCAGAGCTTCGCCGCAAAGCTCTTTGCCAGCGGCAGGGACCGCTGGAGCAGCATCTGGCTGGAGCCCCCCGCCTCGTCCCGGAACACGATGTCCGTCCTCAGCCGCACCGACTGCCTGGTGTAGCCGTCCCTGTAGGCCTGCATCACGGCGTTCGCGGCCTGCCTGCACATAGCCTCCGTGGAGTTCGGCATGGCAGGCAGCTGCCTGGAGCCTGGCACAGCCCACCGTGAGCTGCCGGGGGACAGCGCCGCCGCGGACGTGGCGCGCGCCCTCCGGCCCGGCCCGCGGCGCCGCAGCCCGCCCGCGGCCAGGGCGAGGCCGCGCTGGCGCGCGGGCCGCTGCTCGCCGAGGCGCAGGCACAGCGCAGCCGCGAGCGAGAGGGTGCCCACGCAGAGCGCGGCACGGCCACGGGTGTGCCGCTGGCCTCGGTCGTGCATCGTGGCGCGTGCCGCCCGCGTGCCCCTCTGACGCGGGGCCCACGTTCACCTGAGGTGGGCGGCCTCGTCGCCACCTGCGGCCATCTATGGCTGGGTGGGTTTGCCCTGGCGTGGCACGCCTGCGCGCCATAGCCAGGCAGCCATGATTGAGCCCAAGCGGCTACGGTCTCACTTCATACTCTTACTAGCGATCTGCTCAAACATCCGACACAGTAGTTCACAACGAGGGGGGGAAGATCCGCCCAGACTCACGGGCGGCCCTGGGCGCTACAGGGGCTGCTCTCGCATGACTTTTTCATGGCCTCGGGATCGCGATTGGGATCTCATTCGCTCAGAATGGCCGAACATGTTGTCCAGCTGTGTCCTGGTGACCTCTGAGGGAGCGCAATCTACCGTCGTTGGCCTGGAAAGTCCTTCAAAGGGGTGGTCAGAAACCAGGGTCCCCCACCCCCCGAAAACAAATCCGAACGGGGGGGTCAGAAACCAAGGGCCCCCCCCCCTCCCCCCGTACCCGCCGCCAGCCCCACCAAACATTTCTCCGACGGTAGAAGCCCCCACGAGAATATATTCAACTTGCTCCTCGCTTCCTCCTCGCCGCCTTGGCGAAGGCGTCCTCCCGCCCTCTGATGTGCCTCCTTCTCGTCCTGTTCGCCCTCCTTATCAGTATTATTATTCGTATTCGTATTATTCGTGTTATTATTACTTTCTTATTCGTATCACTCCTCTTATTAGCCACAGCAGAGAGGGAAAGTGGACTGCGATGGGCCCCGAGACGAAGTGCCCAGGGGCCTCCCTGCAGAGGTTGCACAGGGTCGTGGCGGGCGCGCGCGGGGCCCCCTAGTACTCGGCTCGTGCGCGGAGCCAGTCCACACGAAAAGACTCGTAGTACTTTTGGTCATCCTCCAGCTGCGGTCTCGTCGCTACTGGCCGCTTCCTCAGCAGACAAACGTCGTTTCCAAACCGTGGCTTCCGAGGACTGTCTTGCGCCAAAAAGCCAACGTAGTCTCTCCGACCGCTGCAAAGGATCATCTGCTTCGGGGCGCCCCGAACTTTCCCAGATCCGAACTGGCGCTGCCAAAAGAAGGATAGGCCTCAGCCCACCGTTGGGCTTCTCCAGGAGCGGCAAGAGCATCCGCGACAGCTGAGCCGGAAAGGTGCCCAGTCGCCCCACTGCCTCAGAGAGCAGGGCCACCGCCTCCAAGCCAGCGTCGCTTAGGAGGCCGAAATGGCGCGCATGAGAATAATCGAGCGACTGTGCGGCACGCCTGCTAAATGACCTCGCTGCCGATCGAATCTGATCTAGGGTAGCCCGAAGGAATGCGTCGCGATCTGGTATTCATGCCTCTGGGGGCGCGAGCGTGGCCTTCCAGAAACCGCCCAATATCTGGGTTTCATCACCCAGAAGTCGAACAGGATCAGCCGAAAAATGCCATGGGCCGTTTGAGGCAGCCGCGGGCATCCATTGTTTCTGCATCCTCGCGAAACGGCGCGCGAGCCTCACCGGCCCCCAAGGGCCGACTGTTGCCGATCATCCCAATCCTGTTCTTGGAAGACATCTGCGGTGTCCTTGGCATCTGCGAGGTCCTCCGCAATAGTTTCGAAATAAAACTCTGCTCTCGCGCTCCACTCCTGCGCCGGGGAGAGGGCCCCGGCACCGCTCGCCCGCCGGGGAGCGCGTCTCACGCAGAGATGCGCCCAAACGAACATTGAGACCGTCCCCGGGGCAGGGGTGCTGCAGAGAAACCTGCAACACGGTGGCCTGGCTGCCAGTCGCCTCCAGGTTCGAGGTGGCCCGAAGGATCTCTGCGAACGCGCGACGCAACCACTTCCATCCCGAGCAGACTTGCAGTCGATCGTCGCTGAGCTTCGGTCGATAGAAGACGGGGGCCCAAGACGAGCGAATGCGGCGCCCGCGATCTCCGAGCGACTTGGCTTCGACCCCCCGGGAACGAACCAGTTCCAACTCTGTGCAGCCGGTGAATGGAGAAAGGGGCCCACGCGGTGTTTAGGCACCTCCTTGCCTCCGCCGCGGGGATGCACTGCGCGCGTGCAACAGCGGCAGCAGCACGCAAAAGTGCCCCATCCACGCGTCTCCCTTCTGGTCGGGGTCCGATCGGTAACTCCAGAGGTAACCGTTGGAACCGCATGTAAACCAGCTGTTTGACGTGCGTGGGCATCGGGTCGGATCTCCAGGGCCACTGGTCGATGCGCTTTTTTGTGCCAAGGAAATCTCAGCGGTGACCCCCTGGACTAGACGATGGATTGCAAAAAAAAAAAAAAAACTAGGATTGCAAAAAAAACTAGGTTTGTTTGCAATCCTTTTTTGCAATCCAGGGTTTGTTTGCAATCCTTCGGTTTGTTTTGCAATCCTTCGCACCAGGGCCAAGGATGAAAAATCAATAATGGAGCTTGTCGCAAGGGAACGGCATGTTGGCATCGCCGCTGCCATCGTCAACAGTCCTGAGCTGCGAGCAACCCAAAAAGTCTCCAATACTTGTGGGGCCATGTTCCAGCCGCCCGCAAGAATCGAGTACGTCAGAACTGCGATGGACCTGCCAAACGCCGCCAAGAGACCCAAATTGATCGTCCCCAGGCCTTCTGCTGATTTCAAATAGACCGGGTACAGCGACACCGTGGGCCATCTAGGGAAATCCACCAAAACCTTACCGACGCGGCGCGCACCCACAGGATCATCCCCTTCTGGAGGCCATCGGGGCCCAATGCTAAGACGCCCAAATATAGCTACCACCGCCGAGAGCTCACGCGTGTCCTGATTGAGGTAACGAGGTTGGAAAAAAGAATGCCACCCAAGACTCTTGGCCTTCGCGGTGGCGCGTCCCACATGATCAGCGCTCACGCCCACCTCCTGCGCACAAAGGAGAACAGCTGTGCTCTCCCTCAGGCGGCGCGAGCGTGGCCCAGCACGAACCACTAAAACTCTCTACGCAATACTTCCCATCAGTATCCGACCTGTTGGGCGCCCCCTTCAGAGGTGGGACGGGAGCACCTGTGCCAGAGATAGGTATCCCACAAACTCGTGGGGCGGAGCTTCGAAACATAGTGTCGCCCACACTTTTGCTTCTTGGCCCGAACCCCCAATCGCTGAATAAGGTCGGTGAAGGCTCGTTTGATGTCCCCGTCCTGTTTTGCAACCTGGAGCAGCTGACCATTACCTTCATCCGTGAGATCGTCGATATCATCTTCCTCCATCGGGACAAGCGGATTTTCTACTGGAACGGGTTCCTTGGCATGGGCTGCGGAAGAGCCCGAGGAAACATCACGAGCAGGAGGAGGGGCCTGAGCTTGGCCTGCCCGAGCCATGCACTGCTCCTCGTACAAGCGTTGGTACTCCAGGAACTGCGGCGAGGCCATGACAGACTGCAGCTCGGGCTTGTCCTTGACCACATCTGCGTCGAGGACGCAGGCTCGCACAGCAGGCGGAACCACCTGGTGCATCTTCGACTGCAGCTCGACCCTGGCGGCTTCGATCTCCACACGCACTAATCGAGCCTTCTCCTGCATGTCAGCCTACTCCGTTGTTGCTGCAGCAATAAGTGCCTGCTGGGTCGCAATGTCCTCCTCGAGCTTCTCAAGCTTGACCGTGGACCGCTGCAGCTTGTGTCCCAGCGCAGTACGTCTGGACAGGGACGGCTTGGTACTATTGAGCTCCTTGCGTGCATCAGCGAGCTCCTTCTCGTTGGAGTCCTTGATGGTAACGGGGAACTGTGTGTCACTCTTCATGCCCTGCAAGGTGGACTCCAGGGACTCGATATTGGCAAGGAGAGCACGTCCTGCCTCATCTGTGTCATCTCCACCATCGGCTGCCGAAGCATCCGCGGGCGGCGCAGCAGGAGGTCGCAGTCCTGCTGATGCTCCGCTGAGCTGCTTGACCACTGCTTCCATCTGCTTCGGGGGCTGGCCAAGCTGGCGCCGGACGTTTCGGCAGGTGGTCCACGAGCCCATGTCCCAGCAGGAGCGCGCTGGCCAGCCTGACGAGGAGAAGACTGCAGTTCAGCGGCCTTGTCTTTGCCTTGTCGATGACGCACTGCGGTGTTTTTTCCCACATAGACATGTGATGCGACTCGCGAAGTTGGAGTTGCGTCCACACGAAGGACATCACCACACTGGCGACTTCGGGCCTCGGAGGACATCGGGATCTGGCGGCCCCATGCGCGAGCACTCAGGGCCGAGACTGCTGGGGGTTGAGGTCCCCCGAATCGAAGCTGGTCGCCAGAAAGGCCCGCGGGTGCGATTGCCACTCCGAAGACGGCAGCTGCAAGTCCAAGATCGCCTGGGCCAAAGCGGCTGGAGGAGGAGGAGGAGCAGGAGGAGGAGGAGGAGGAAAAGGAGGAGGAGGAGGAAAAGGAGGAGGAGGAGGAGGAGGAGGAGGAGGAGGAGGGAGGAGGAGGAGGAGGAGGAGAAGGAGGAGATGGAGGAGGACGGGGAAGGGGACGAGGGAAGACAACAGGTGAGCAGGTGGATGCGTCGGGAGGGCGGGTCGTCGGGTCCTCCTCCGCGCGCGCCGCCGAGCCGAGCCTCGCCCGCAGCTCCTCGCACTCCTGCTGCAGCCGCTGCCTCCGGAGGGCCGCGGGCCCCCCGCCGTGGGAGCGGGCCCCGACTGCAGTTCTTCTGCGGCGGCGGCGGCGGCGGTGTCCTCTCTCCTCCCTTCTCTTCCTCCTCCTCTTCCTCTCCTCATCCTCCTCTCCTTCCTCCTCCTCTCCTCCTCATCCCTCCTCCTCCTCCTTCTCCTCCTCCTCCTCCTGCTCCTGCTCCTGCTCCTGCTCGTGCTCTTCCTCCTCCTCCCTCCTCCTCCTCCTCCTCCTCCTCCTCCTCCTCCTCCTCCTCCCCCTCCCCAACTCGAGAGGGGGCGATTGGCAGTTCTGGTGCGAGGTGGACTGGTCGCAGCTCGTCAAGGCGCACGAGAGCCACCCAGAAGATGAGCTCATGAAAGAGTAGGTGGATAAGATGGAGGGCGAGTTCGGCGCTGACTGTGCGGGGTGGCCAGACATCGGGTGCAAGTCGACGTTCCTCCCGTTCAAAGGTGGGCCGTCAATGGTGGTGGAGCTTAAGGTGGGGCATGGCTGGGAAGCGCTCGTAGCGGAAAGGCTGCCGCAGCAGCTAAAACCGCCATCAAGGAGTGCCACTACAAGTTCTACGACGCCGCCCAGAAAATGAGCCCAGAGCTGTTTGAGCTGGTCCCCATGTCCTTCCCGATGACGCACAAGGTTAAAGGCTGCGATCTCATCGCAAGGTATCCTGTGGACGCGTGGGAAAGGGCTGGGAGGAAGGCCTTCACTATGCAGAGCTGGTGCGAGTTGGCGCTAAAAAATCGAATAATGACGAAGAGAACCTCCACAAAGTCATGGAGGTCGCCATGAAGGAGCTGAGTAACGAGGACAACCTCGAGTGATAAGGTTCAAAGAGCGCCAAAATCTACGGGAGAGCACGCAGGCCCTGCTGGATGGTACCGAGGTCTTCGAGGAAAAGTTCGCCTACCCCAAGTCGGAGGAGAAGACGACGGTCAACTCGTCCTGCGGCCACCAGTGAAAGCACCCACTTGAGCCCACTGGAAAGCCAGGAGATGCATTCGTCAGGTTTTCTCAGAGTGATACTCTGGGCAAGCTGGACGAGCCAACTGGCAAAGCCGAGAGATGCATTAGCAAGGTTACCCCGGAATGCGACTCTAGGCAGATAGGACGGGCAAACACAGAGCTCGCACTGACATCGCCATGGACAGTGTTCTTTGGGAGCGCCGACAGGTACATTACTGCAGGGTGGTGAATGGGGGGACACCAACATGATCATCACGAAGGCCACAAGAGTGTATCCTCGATGGCCCGTATCTACATACCGTGACTACCAACGTGCTCTATCCCACAGACACTTCTAGGGGGAACAGTGGGATACTTCAACTGGGTATCAGAGCACAGGTCCGACAATGCATGGGACAACTATCGGCCAGTTTGATGTGGAAGAGAAGTGGGCCGAGCGAGAGAGGAGAGAATAGGATATCATAAAATCAGTAGGACAACCAGGCCCCCCAGCCAACGTTTGGGAAGCACGGGCCTACCGACCCTCCCCCCTCCTCCTTTTGAGTTGTCGTGTCGTCGTCTCCTCCCCCCATAGCTTGTACGCGCTGGTACGCCCGCGCGTCCCCACCCCATGGGTACGCCGAAGGGCCAGCAGCTGCTCCCCCCGCACTCACCCGCAGGGATTCGTAATCGTAAGGTAGCGAGCCCCCTTCACGGGGCCACCTCGGAGCTCACTCGTTGAGCAACGGGGTATGCCCCCTGTCGGCCCTGGTGAGAAGACAGGGCCGTTGCACAACCAATCGCAGGGGATGTTGCCAGAAGCGCGCAAGGCACCAGCGTAGGTGTTTTTGACATTGAACCCCCTTATGCGGATGTCCTGTCCTGTCCTCCTCCCCCTCCTCCTCGTCCTCCTCCGTTTCGTCCTCCTCTTCCTCCTCCTCCTCCTCCTCCTCCTCCTCCTCCTCCTCCTCCTCCTCCCCGTTCTGCTGCTCATCCTCCCCCTCTTCCTCCCCCTCCTCCTCCTCCTCCTCCTCCTCCCTCCTTCCTCCTCCGTCTCCTCCGCCTCCTCCTTTCTCCTCCGCCTCCGTCTTCAGCCTCCGACTGCTCGGTGGCCGACGCGCCTCAGCCTCCGCCGCCATGCCGATCGCCTCTCGCGCCCTCGGTGATCGCACGCCTCGGTTAGTGCGCGTCGGCCTCTTCCCGCCGCAGCGGGCGGCCGAGCAGCGATCACTGCGCCCGAACAGGCACTGCAACGGAAATGCGATGCGACTTGCAGCTCGAAAGCTTTTCGCCACGGGCCCAGCACCTCAAGGCGCTCCAGAGGGTGCCAGGAGAGGCGCCGACGCCCGAGAACGCGGGCAGCCAGGGCCGCAGAAGTAAAGCAGCACCACGCATGGCGAGTGGGATCTTCACCCTCAGACGAGCTTGCAGCTAGCGCTTTCGGCTAGAGACGTCTGGGTGTCAGACAGGCATTGGAGACAGCTCCAAGCTGAGCTGTGACCCCAATAAGGGGTTCAGCGCGACAGCAGCTCGTTGCACCCCGTCCCATGGAACGAGGTCCAGCCTGGGACCACAGCCAGAGAACCAGTCGAGCAAACGAGAATATAACAGGGAAGAGACCTTATATCGGGCCGCAGCTGCTAACATTAATAATCTCAGCATGATGCTGACAAGTGTGGGCAAGGGCAAACCTCAGGCCAGCGCGCTCCCTCATATGATTAGTTGGCATTGTGGATGCCCCTGCCGCACTAAAAGCATGTGGGGACAGATCGTTGGTGAATTCCGTCAGGGCAAAGCACACCAGCTGACACGTTGTAGATGCCGATGTACTTCGTCGCAGCAGCACTCAGGCGATTACAGGATGGACGCCATTCAGGCGTCTCCCAAGCAGCACACGTCCTGACAACGAACGACGTAGACATCACTACGGCATCCGCGGACCATTCCACGCCGACCACGTGAAAAAACGAAGCTCTCGCAAGACCGCAGCAACATGGGTGCAAGATCCGCGCAAACAAATCGGATTCATCATGCTCAGTGTTTGACGGAATCGAACAAATGGTGTATGATGAATGTGAGGCAGCTCTCGAACTACGTACAGCGGCAATAATCGAGGTGAGGGATTGGGTGATGGCTAAGTTGCTACCTATGGATCTCAACTTCAGGGCTGGGCTTGCCATGATTTTCTTCGGGCTCAAGATCAATCCACATACCGAGATACATCGCTTGGGAAACAACCGAACAGGCGTGCCATCCTGGAACAAGACAAGGTAGAATCTGACGGGAAGCCTGGAGCAGCTCGGAATGATGGGACCAACAAGAGCAAGGACTGACACTTGGAGATCCTCGAATACAGGTTCACAAGCTTGCAAGCATGATCGCACATACGCTTGACTTTAGGAAAAGGTGTCCGAACGGCAAAAAAAAACTTGCCAAAAGCGCACGCACAAACGCGCCCACGGCGCTTCTATCCGACCGAGAGCAAGAAACACTTGCAGGAAAGGGTCGAGACTTGCTACAGAGTCCGTCCCGCTCCCGTGACATCCCTGGGTCATCCAAGCTGGCATCTGGAACACACAAGAGACCTTCCCGCCAAACTCAGAGTAGCCATGAGAGCCCGTGCACATCACGTGCACGAGACATATATGGGGTCTGGGGAAAGTGAAAGCTTCCAGGGCCAGGAAAAGCCGCCTATGCGCCAGGGGCACGCAAGTCTGGGCGAAGCCGCGTGCTAGCAACGCTGCTGCTGCTGAACGTCGGCATGCGCGTGCGCGGTGCTCGAATGCACGTCAACTCTTTTTCCAACTATAGAGACGATGTGAGCTGGACAGAGAAGACAACCAGGAAAAGACTAGGAGAGCAGAGTAGCCAGCAGCGCAGGGAGGCGCGTCACGACGTCGCGCTGCATGGGATTATAGGTCGGGCATGTCCCCCTACAGGCGGAGCTTGAACGAAGAGAACCCACACATATTCAAGCGCAGACAGAAACAATAGAAACGTCGTCCCCCGACCATTTTCTAAAACTATGTTTGACTGTTCCTCCTGTGGGGGGACACGGCGGACTTCGGCGCAGGAGCGCCCCACAGGGGAGCGAGCGGGCTTGCTTGGCCACGGCCGGCCCCGACCACGAGCAGGCACCGTCGGTCCAGACCGACGGAACTGATGGGCCCGTCTTCCATCACCACCACCACAAGTTGGAGGGTTGGGGGGAGGAGGAGGAGGAGGAGGAGGAGGAGGAGGAGGAGGAGGAGGAGGAGGAGGAGGAGGAGGAGGAGGAGGAGGAGGACGAGGAGGAGGAGGAGGAGGAGGAGGGGAGGAGGAGGAGGGAGGAGGAGGAGGAGGAGGAGGAGGAGGAGGAGGAGGACGAGGAGGAGGACGAGCAGGCCCCGTCAGTCTAGGCCGACGGAACTGATGGGCCTGTCTTCCACCACCACAACCACCATAAGTTGGAGGGGGGGGAGGAGGAGGACGAGGAGGAGGCGGACGAAGAGGAGTTGAAAAAGGAGGAGGAGGAAGAGGAGGAGGGGGAGGAGGAGGACCCCCTCCCTCTCCAGCTTATCGTGGCGGTGGTGGAAAACAGGCACATCGGAAACTGCCCAGAAGCCAGAACGTCTCCTGGGCGGGGACTCGCAGGCCATCTCCGAAACATTGGCGCGGAGCTGCCTGCAGTCATCGCGCTGCCACGAACAACGCTGAACAAGGAGCGAACAGGCATGGCTGGCCACTGCGAGCTTCGGCCACGACCGGGCCCCCTCACCCAGACCGAAGGAACGGCCTAAAAGCCAGCACACATCCTGAGCCTTGACTGGTCTTTACATCAACGTCTTGGCTGTTGCCTCTGATGACCACACGCTGGCCGAAGTACCCACCCACACTGGCCTGGCAAGCTTCGGAAGAACGCATGCGCAGGAGGCCGGGAAAAGCTTCACGTCACAGCTTTACGGCAAAAGAGAAGCCGAAAAATCGAGTGGCCCAAACACGCGCCCTGGGCATCTCCCTCAACCTCCCCCCCCTTCGCGTAGACACAGACCTCTCCCTCTTCCT